AGAACTTCGAGGACCAGTATTTCACAGGGTTAGCTACATTGATTCGTTGCGATCTTGGTACGGCACGAAAAGTGCAAAAACGCGTAATCGCACCGGCCCGCCTGGTGCGTTCCAGCCTGGGTTTGCTTGAAGTTCGGTCGTTTTTTTGGTAAATGCTCGCTTTGTGAAAAAATGGAAAATGCAAATTTTTTGAAAAAATGCAAATTTCCATTTCACTAAAAAATGGAAGTGTTGCTTGAGCGGTCGTTTGTCAAGAAAATCTAAGTATGCAAATGAACTGAATGTTCATTTACATATTTGGATGAGGGCGGTTGTTCGCTGCAAAACGCACTCGTTCCTGATTTTTCGGTAAAGTTGAGTATTTTTCACGACTACCTGTAGGGAATTCCACCTCCAAGCAGAATTAAGACCGCACTTGAAAGTAGAATATCCAAACGAACTTTCAGCCTCGCAACTTGTCCGGTAGGGGAAATGTCCGCTTCGCTACAAATGTCTTTGAAGTGCCCTAAGTCGTGGCGCAAGTGCATATCGGAACTCATTGGTGTTTACAGTTTCCCATGTGGGCAACAAGCACGCTGACAAAATTTCACCACTGTTTTCCGGCAAGTTTTCGAGTTAGCACAGTAGAAATTTGCGAAATTTAACGTGATCGTACGCGCTTCACAAGCGTGCGCGACATTTGACTTTGAAACCCTCAGCTCGCACATGCACAGAGAATACCTCAGCAAAGTTTCAGCTTTGTATCTTGCCTGGTTCGCGAAATCGTTGCCCCCCAAAGAAATTTGCATATTTCTTGGGGGGCCTGTACGCGGGGTCTAATCGCGTGTTGGGGAAGATATTAAAACGGGAGGATAGCATCCGGGGTAGAAACATATATCCAAAATTTCAGCCTCCCAGCTTTCCTGGTTGCTGAGACGAAAGTACACACACACACACACGCACACACACATACATACACACACATGTACACACACACATACACACACAGCCTCTCGACAATATGCGTTTTTGCTGGATGTAGCTGCGCTATAGCGCTAAAGTGAGTACCCGTCATGTCCCCGTGCAGGGAACCGTGCACAAGGTTCCACTGTAATTGCTGATAACCCCAGCAGCATGTTATTGAAATAAATTTGGATTTTAGCGGATTAAAAATGCGCTTCAGGAACTTTTGCTCAACGCTTTATTAGTTTTGATTTTAAATTGATCTTTCAAAGCGATTTTAGAAAGCTGTTAGACACTTGGTTCACGCCATTGCATATTTTTTTACTT